ATCTGACAACTGCAGAAGGTTCAGAGAGACTTAAGCAAAGCGCTACTAATAACTGAAAGGATTCAAAACCAAGAAGAATGATTAAACACTCATAACTGACAAACTCATAAGGCCTTCAAAATAGTAAAGTGATACCCTGGTCATTTTCCCTATTTTTAAAATTCCATCAATTTCCTTATTATAGAGCCACAATTCCCAAGGAAAAGCAAGGCAGATGAAAAATGTGTAAATGACAAATAGTAACAAATATTCATCAGTAAGTGTGTTACAAACTAATGTCATGATTACATATTTCCTTTCTTCCATCCCATGCAATTTCTCATTTTAAGATGACAAAAATGTAAGAAACGCTCCTCTAGAACTTGGATAAAATATATACAAAATAAAATGATTCATACATGTTCACTTATAAAGCTAGCAAAAAAATCATCAACTTCAGTGATGAATACATCATTGGCAAAAAGCCACAGATTGGTAATGAAAGCACATTCCATACAGATCCAGTTGGAAAGACTGCTTGCTTTGCACTGCTCAGCTCAGAGGTAATTGTAGACACTTGAGACAGCTCTGCCACTTTCATTTCCTCCTACGTGCATGGGCATTGTGGAAAAGGGTACAAGCAAAAAGCAGAAAAAGATGGCAAAAACAAAGTCAGGGATTACTGTGGTTACTTTTCCAGGCATGATAAACCTCTGTTAGGTGCTGGGAGATGACAACTGAATTCTGCTGCCTCACTGTGGCAGAGATAACTTATTAAGCTACTCCAGCTGCAAGGAAGGTCAAAACTGCAGATATGAACTCATAGGATATGACTCCTAGAAATGTCTGAAAGGCAAGTTCAAACAGAGATTTAAATTTGTTAACATGACAACGCCCTCCATAAAACTAACCATAATTAAGGAACAAGTATAGTATAGATCCAATGGATACAAGATAGGCTCAACAGCATTTCAGAAGGAGATGAGGGTTCAGGGCTCTTTTTTAGAGGAGGAAAGGACTTTATTTTACACTTTTGAAAACATTTCAAGATTAGAAGACACCCCACCAAATACAAACGCTTCGACTGCAACAGATGTCTGAATTTCAGTTTCCAAATAATGCAAAGTAGGAAAAATTTTGAGACACAGATTTTATTATGCTAAGTACGACTGAAAACTGTCATCCACTGCTTCACAAGCAGTGAAAATAACAGTGTCATAATTTTACCATCTTGTTTTGCAGAACACTTAGAAACCATGCACAGAAAAGCCAGTCCCTTCTGCAAAGAAAAGCAATATGGTCCAATCACTAAGTGTTTGAAAATGTTTTTCATTACAAGTTCACTTAAACTATACAGAATATAAGACATACGCTCTGAAAAATACTATATCCTTAATTTCTGTGCAACCTCTATCACAGCACCTATCAACTAACTGGAGTGCTGGGCCTACCATAACTGCCTGAGAAACACATCACTGCTTTCCACGTATGTCTTCCATAAAAAAAGACACAATCTGAGATTTTGCATACAACAGCAATGAACAGCAGAATAAGAGGTTCATAAATTAAATGATCTAAGGGATACCTGTATAAAATTCAGAGGTGACACAAAAAGGAGGCACTTGCCAACAGCCAGAGCTGCAAGGCTCTGATGTGCTGCAGGACACAAACTTGGGCATGACAAGAACCTGTTGCCAGAGCTCCCTGATGGATAAGGTGAGACTTACCTTCCACTTCCATACACTCATATATGCTCTGAAGTACAGAGATGCCAATGTTTCTTTCTAAGTTTTCAACAAGGGCAACACAAGTTCTCTTCTAAAACAGTGTCATCTGTTGCTCTGAAACACGCAGCAGGAAAGCATGAAGTTGCAAGTAAAAAAGCACTTTCAGGTTTCAAATCAGTGTTAAAAGAAACCAGAAGTCAGATGCGGGATGCTGGAGGTCATGAACACACTGAAATATCAAGTTAGATACCAAACATTTAATCACAATTAAAAGGAAAAAAAAAAATCTCTAATAAAAAGGTTGAGACTACCACCTTGTACTATAGCACTTACAGTTATTAATGGAATATTATTTGCTAGCTCAATCTCAACTATTCTGCTCTCGTTTATGTAACTAGAGCAGATTAAAAAGCTTATTACAAAATAACAGTCAGTGAGATGGTTGCAGAGTTCTCCCAGGTCCATTTGTGCCCCGTTCCAACCTCCTTTTACTTCTAAACTGAACACTGAGGCCCGGAGTTCTGCCACCTTCTTTAAACTTATGAAAAATAAATAGACTATTTGCAAAACAGCTTCAAGTGGAGGTAAAAAGAACAGAAGCTTTGTATTAGCTGAGGGTAGGACTACATGAATCTCCTGTGTATTTCCCCACTTCACTTTGTTCTCATAATCAAACTATGATGAAAAATGCATGATGTAAAATTAAGAGCAACAATATATTTACAATTATAATCTAATTACAGCAGGCATAGAAAGTGTAACAGCAGCATAAGATATTCTAGATCTCTTTTAATTGTGCACCATTACACTGAGCTATTAGTTTTGAAATTAATTTGCATTGAAAGAATAGCTTTATAAGTTGAACTGTGATAAACGTGCTTCCTTTCAAATATCAAAACAGAAAATATTCAATTTTCTCTCAATTTTTAATAGTCTCAGTCTAACTGCATTTGAAGTTCTTTGGTTGAATAACATTGGGTCCATTCCAGTTGCTACAGTTCATTAACTATTTCATACAATGAAAGTTATTGTCCAAAAAAGCTCCATCATTATCAAAGTAAAACTGATGAAAACAAATCTCCTAGTAATTGTTTCCTCTATGGACAGAAAATCCAGTACGAAGCATTGCTAAATGGTAAATATCTCTTTACTCTTACCTACAGATACTAAAAAAAAAAAAAAAAAAAATCAAAATCCCATCCTGCCTAACTCCTGACCTAAACACAACTAGCATCACAAAGATCCACGTTCCCCCATACACCACTTTTTCCCCTCTCTAGTTTAACTATGCACATTTG